CTTATGAGAAGGATCTCACATATTTTAAAATGATGGAGTTGTGAGAATAATTAGCTCATACACACCCCCTGTAATATATTCTTCATGAAATTGGTTGTGAGTTTACCCTCAACTGTCCCTTTTTGAAGAAATTCTTCTCCAGTCACCCACCCTTTTCTGTAGAGCTGGAATTTAACAGGGAAGTAGTTCTAGAACAGATACTGAATATAGATATGAGTTTGGAGTTTCAAATGGTTAGACCAGTATGGACTACATTTTCTGTATTGTTTCATAAGGAGTTCATGTGCTCTGAGAAACTGAGGAAAAGAAAAACAAGAGAACTGAACACAGGCAGACAAAGAGGAGTGATGAGATTGAAAAGCACAGAGAGAGAGAGGTACTGTCATGGATCCTTGATTACATCTCTTCCCTAAGGCCTAGTTACTTTGTGTCTTTCGATTTCACAAAATAGCTTAACATCCATATTTTTTTCCCATAAGGTAGTTAAATCTGGATTTTTAACACATGACTTAAGTAGCCTAATTAATTTGCCTTTGTGTAATGTAGCAAGTTGGTCATGAAATTATAGGATTTTCCAGTTCAATCTAATCATTGTTCATATCCTTACAATTTTGTAATTGATTGTTTAATTATTTTTGTTTTTGTTTTGGAGTGATGAGGGGATCACTTATTTTGAAAATTTCATTTACATTCATCTTTGCATTACATTATGCTATATTTCTTGATTGGAGTTGATACACATACATAAAACATTCTTTCCTTCACATTTTCCCTCTCTAACTCTGGGTCTTTTTCCCATCTAGAAAGAGCCATCTCCCTACTTCCTTTTATCTATTGTCTGTTTTACTCTTTATTTATATTTGAGCTTGGCCTATATATACTCCTTTATTTATTCTAAGAAAAAGCTCAGTTAGGACCATTGGTAATATCCTCACCACTTGCATATGCTCTGGAAAGATTACTTCAGAGATACTTTTTCTGTCCTTTATTTCTAAACTAAAGATTGAATGACATGGAACAGGGCTACATCTGTCATATGCATAGCCTCATCATGTGTTCAGTTTATACCGAGATTTATGCTTCACTGTTATCTAACAAGCCAGGGATTTAGCTAATATTTGGCCCAGAGGAGGTATGGAAATACCTGAAACAGAGGTAGGGGAAAGCATACCAGTGAAGGGTCAGAGACTCTGAAAGAAAGGTCAGTTGTGGAGTGGACAGAGTAGAGAAAAAGTGGGGATGTGAAAGAGGCAGTGCAGAAGCCCACAATCATTTGGGTGTCTTGTTGAGCAGAAGCTAATGCTTGCTTCGGAAGCGGAAACCCTGGTTGCATTCAGAGGGATATTTCTTTGAGCATGTTAGCTGTCACAATGCAGGACAGGAGGAGTCTTCTTACTTCCTGTTATAATTAAGTAATTATGATCCTCTGCCAGTTAGCTGGTGAACATTCTGACCATTTGTTTAGTCTGAATTTTGACAGCGTAGCTGTTGTATACCCAACCTTGTGCTGTGCTATCGTACCAAGAGACACAGTCCTCCCTCTTGTGGGGTCCACAGTCTAGTAGAGGTGACTGTAAAGGGAAGTGCTGTGGCATTCGGGTGTTTAATTACATATTATGGTAACTGCTGTCAGAACTTTTCTGTAATATGGAGGATATATCCTCCATATTACAGAACCATCCATCATGTCCTTTTGGAGTCAAGTATTTTCAGACTAAAAAGGAGCTTAAGTGCTGAATTTTGTAAACAGCTTCAGGTATCAGTTTTTAACTTCTAAAAACTAAGTTTTAACATCATTTTCCCTAGTTAAGGAACTGAGGAAGTCAGTAAGCTTTCTTTTGGCTTTCAGTAATTCATGCTGGAAAGACAAGTGATCGTGTCTATTTAATGGGGCCTGGGCTTGACTGTCCCCTGAATTTCATATGTATCAGTAATAATAGAGAAGAAGGCATTGCACCTCTCAAGACTGTCACTTTAAGAAATTCAGTTTAGAAAATAATGCAATATATTAAAGTCTTATTGGCTACTTTTGTTAGTCAGGTTAATAGGACTAATTAATAGGGAGTAATAGGACTGAGGACTGAATTATTATTCTGAAGTTGAGGTTTCAAAATGGAAGTGGATAAGACAAAGTATGGCTGCTTTCACCATCACCGTGACCGCCACACTCACCTTGGGCATCTGCAGAGCCCAGCGCTGACCATGCTATATCCCTGTTTTCACACTGTTAGGTAAAAATGGCTTTAAATTCTAAACAGTAGTATGAAAAATGGCAGGGCACAACAATCAGATGACTTGTGAAAGTCACTGCATTTGCTCAAAGAGCCATAGTAGGACAATTTTAAGGCACAACAGTTGGTGTGCTCAAATAGTTAAATATCAAATGAGTCTGACTGAGGAGCCTCACACGAAACCCAGATGTGAGAATAGACATGCTCTGATTCCAGAGGCAGATCAACAGGGTGGAGAAAAAGCTATCAGGATCATCGGAAAGATAGCGAAAGCCTTCCAGTTGAGGAGATAGAATGCTACAGTTACATGTCGGGCAAGTTTACATGGACTCTGCATTTGTCCAGATCTTTAGTTTGATATTGATTTTGTATTCCTGCATCATTTGATTTTACTTACTAATTACTACCTCAGAAGTAATTTTCTGTCCTTTGTAATTATTTCTAGACTGAAGAATGAATGACACGACACAGGTTTTGACTACCGTATGCACAGCCACATGATGAGTCAGTTTAAACAGAAATTTATGCTTCGCTGTTATCTGACCAGCCAACCAGTTATCACGTGTGTGTTGAGTGGCTCAAACAAGTAGTCAGAAAACGGTGGCCCACTGGCCAAAGGTGACCTGGTGACTGTAAGGCCCATGAACCAAGGTCAGTGATTACATTTTTAAATGTTTGGAAAAAAATTAAAATCGATATCATTTAGTGACACAAACCTTAAAATTAAGACTCTGGTGTTTGTAAGCAGAGGCTTATTAGTATCAGCACATGCATTTTATTTGCTGCCTATGAATATTTTTGCATTGTAATATCAGAGTGGCATAATTGCCTCAAAGATTACAGAGCCTGAAAAAAATTTGTAGCCATGGCCTGGAATTTTGAAAGAAAGAAAGAAAGAAAGAAAGAAAGAAAGAGAAAAGAAAAGAAAAGAAAAGAAAGAAAGAAAAAGGGACAGCTAATATCTACAGTTAGAAACAAAAATAAAAGAAATTCTGCCTGTCAGGGGCTTCCAGGCTAGTGCTCTAACAAGAGTGAGCCCCAAATGTGGGGTAAGACAAAAGAGAAATCCATATACCAAACAGGAACAATCTGGAGTATATCTAGGATTAATGGATATTAATGAATATCCATGAAAGGTGTACAATGCATTGATATCTATTTGGAAGTATACTTGTTGGTTTTCCAGACAAAAAATGTCTTTTTTAATTTCTCTGTCAATATTTTTTGGTTATGTTTGGTAGAGGTTTTTTTTTTTTTTTTTTTTTTTTTTTTTTTTTTTTTTTTTAACACTTTCATGGATTAAAGTAATGAGTTAAAGAGATAGTTAAACATGTGTTGACAATATCAGACAATTTTGTTTCCACTGTGGTGTTGAAAAAATCTTTTCATATTAACATTAATGGAAACTGGTAGCAATGGGAAGCTGTGTGTGTTTGTGTGTGTGTGTGTGTGTGTGTGTGTGTGTGTGTGTGTGTGTACCAGGGATTAAACTCATGACATCATGCTTGCTAAGCAGGCACTTACACTGCTGAGTAAACCCCTGGCCCATGGAAAACTTTTTTGATCCAGTTCAGACCATGTCAGATAGAGTATTTTGAATCAAAACTGGGTCTAATCAATAATGATGACAATAACAAGTACATCAATAGTTCAGATCATATCATCCCTATTGGTATTGATACTTAACTTGGACAGCCAACACAAACAGTGTTTCAAAACATAGACATTTTTTTTTAAAGATCCTGGTATAGAACAGTAGTTAGAGAAGTAGCCTTTAGAGTCTCAGAGACATGGATTCTAGACCTTATTTCTTTCCTGCTTGCCATATGATTATAGCAAATAACTCCCTTAAAAACAATTCTTTTTTCTCTAATAAGAAGACAGCAAATCATTTCTGTTTTATGAGACTGTTGGGATACAAGCACACAAGGTGATTAACAGAATGTCTGATTTGTAGTCACAGTATACATTACCATTGATATTAACGAAACTTGCCATTTTAAAAACAGGGCAGAGATGCAAATGTAATATAAATAATACTAATATCCTCCAACACCCCAACAATTTCCTGCTTAGAGTTCAATAATCTGTATTTTTCTAAAATTGGATTGATATATACCATCTAACTGTGTTTTAAGTATACAGATTTTGTAGTTATATTCTAATTTTGGGGGGTATAAGAAACCTTAATAATACATATGGAAACTCGAATGAAAAACAAGAATAAACAAACATCTCTTAGCTTATGGAAATGACTAAATTCCTTAGGGATGATCAAATCATGAAATATTTCAGCAAATATATGAAACCACCATGCTTCACAATGAAACTTATTTTAGGTAAATATGACAAATATATAATCTGAGTAGAATAATTGCAAGTGTCCATGATAAGCTAACATTTCAGAAAATAAAATTTTTGTGGTTAATGTATAATTAATATAAGACAAAGCTACAGGAATATATTCAATACTGTCTCCTAATTAAAACCAGAAATAGCCTTTCAGTATATTATAACGGTGCTTCCTTTCAGTTCAAATTATAAGTTCGTTTTACTTTTTCACGAGAGTTCTGTTTTCAAAGTGCCTGCTTTTATTCTACCTTAGATATAAGCCCCAATGTTTTACAGATATAAGCTAAGAAGTCTTATTGAGAGGAGAGAAACATTTAGAATAATAGAAGTTGTTACACGCACAGTAACAAATGAAATACATCTTCTGTAAATAACTCCCACCAGAAATCTTATATTTCCAGGCTTCTATGCATATACCTTCATATAACAACTTTTGTGTTCGTAAAACATTCACTGAAGGCAGCTCTGCAGTTTTATAGAAAAACAATGTGCCAGGGATGCAAGAATCTTGCCAGTTCTGTGAAAAATGACACCAATTAAAGCTTAAATTGCTTGTTTTCTCATAAGGTACATATTTTCATAACTTTGAAATCAAATAATTGCTGCTTTTATATTAAATACAATAAAACAAAAAGGATGCTAGTTTAGAGGAACTGCTACAAGCATTTTAATATAATTTTCCCACCATTTAAAGTCACAAAATATGGAAAACAAGTCAAGTATGCAAAGTTCCAAGGAGATAGAGAAACTCCTTCAGATTATTACATCATTTGTCTTTTGTGTCAGGAAATGTGTATATGATTTCATTGTTTGATTAAATGCCAAAAAAGGCACATTGGTCTTATCTAACTGATTACAGATTTTATTCATATGAAAAAGTATTTGTTAATGCTTTATCATTAGGAGACTTTTTTGTTTTTTCAAAACTCTAAACATTCATTTCCAAAAAATATAATCTTATGAAGTCCCAGAGTTTATTTCTTTATTTTGCAACACTACATGATACTCAAGTTTCCCATACTGAAATCTAGTCCCCAGTGATTTTGTATCTGCAAACTGAGCAAACATTTTCTTTATGACTGGGAGGAGTGAGTGTGTGTGTGTGTGTGTGTGTGTGTGTGTGTGTATTCAAAGTCTAAACTATACCAATTTTCAAAAACATTAGGGAAAAGAGTTTTAGTGTGTGGAGTTACCAAAAAGAAAACAAAAGGTTTTGATATATGACTTAAGGGCATTGCTAATCAAACGAAAAGAACAATTTGAAATCTAAATCTAATGTTTTAGGTGATATGTTTCATTGTAGTGTTTTTGTATGATGATTCTTTTACATACATGTATAAACCTTTTAGTAAGAAAATTAATTCAAATTTTCATAGGCAACAGAAAAGTCTAATTAGTAAGCTTATTACATTTGCAAAAAACCTGTACAGTAGAAAAATGATGTCCCACTGATGCTTTCCTTTGTATTTGGGATGCCTGAGTGACAGCTAGGCTTTGAGGATAGGGTCATACCGTGTGCTTTCTATGGTATAAACTAGCTGTCTGTGTTAATAATAAGCTTGTGCTGAAGCCAATTTGAGGAAACATCAAGGGATTCCAAGGTCATTTGCCAATGGCCTGGCCTCCATTAACTTCTTCAGTAAAAGTCCCAATGATCCTTATTTTGGCCTTGAGTGTGGGTTATCAAAATCATCCCTCTTAATATTTCCACGCAAATAGCTTGTTTCCTTAAATAGTCATTATGTTCAGTGGGGACAGTTTCTGAAAGCTGTTCAGTTCAGTAGAAAAATGCATGTGGAAAAGTCTGTTATTTTAACATATATCTATATTTGGCAAAAGGAGAGTATAAAAATGCTTTGGATATTTAATTAGAAGACATTAAAGACAGATAAATGCTCCTCTTGTCATGAAGAGCACAAAGTAATTTTAAAAAATGAGATATCTAAGATTTTGGGACTGTCACCTAAAAGGCAAGAAAAGTGTAGTAAGCCATTACGCTATACTCACATACATATCATAATTTTTCCAAATAGCTCTCAATTGCTTAATATAGTAAATTAAAACTTTGATGTTAATCCTCTGAGTTTCCCCTTTTACCATAGGTTTTTGGAGAAGTTCTTCCCTGCTCATAGGAAGTTGTTATTTACATGCAAATTTGTAAACAAAGAAGCACATTAATGAAGAGGGCTTGGCAGCGACTGGTGAGAAAGGCTAAAGAGAAATAGATCTTATTTATTGTGTTATTTAAACCTGAGTTACATTACACCATCTTACATTTAAGAGGCAGCCTGCTAATGCAAGCAAGGGTGTCTCCTGCAAGGAGACAAAGATTAATGCCATGTGTACCGATGATGCTCCACCACAACTCAGAACTCTGTGGCGCCATGACGCCCCTGTTTTATGTGGTGGTTTGCCAAGAGAAAATTACTTAAACCAATTGTGAATGCATTCCTTTTTTTACTTTTTATACAACCACATTTATGTAAGTAAATAGTATAATGAATATTTTTGAAATGATCCATCATTTTGAATTCACCTACTTTGTATAAAATGTAATGTGCAGCTTTTTCTCTTGCAAGAAAGACTTTCACATGGGAATGTTCAATTTTTCCTCCTATGAAAAAGATTTCTCAGAGACAACCAACCACAACTGGAATAGATTCTTTTAAACATATTGTAATGTGAGAATTTTTTTCAGCTGGAGGGTGTTTTATTCTTTAAATTGAAAGCCGTTGTTCCTCAGAACTAGTATGACATTGTAATGCATGATGTGCTAGTTACTCTTTATAAGCAGAAATTGATATGCTTAAAATATATATTGAATATTGAAATGTTATGTGACATTTGAAGCTGCTTTAGTTTTTCAAGTTTGTTCACTCCATAAGTGAAGTTACCTGTTGCACATACATGCAGGGAAAAAAAAGAGTATAGAAGATTGTACATTAGAAATCTTATCTTTTTTTCTAGAGTCAGCCTAACTTGTCGATTAAAGATGATGAATTTAACAACAATAAGTTCAGGACAATAATATATGTATCATAAAACCATCATTTCTCACATTCAACAATTAGTCCAATTTATTCGTGAAAAGTACAAAAAGACAGTGAGTGTTGAAACTGAAACTTACTTCATTTCTCCTCAGGGAGTGGTTTCTTCCAAAACAGAACTGAGATCATTTATAGGCAGTTTTGGTGAAGCAGTTTTCTGGATTTTTTTCATTATATTTTTCCAAGGCGTAATTCAGTTTTCTCATCCAATGGAAATGGGCATACATGTAAAAGTTAATAGAGACATTTCTTAAGTAAGCACTTTGCCTATTGTGATTTTTAGTAAATGTGTTAAAAATAATACATCAACATGTGGAGGAGAATTTAGTTTCTAATGCTTACTGCGTCTGAGCCGAACAACATCTTATTTCTCCTTTGCTTCTTTCAAGTGAATGTTCTTTGTACACTCATTTTCTTATCAGTAGAATCAATAATACTATACAATGTACAGGGTTGTTTTAAGGATTACATGCTTTTTATTTGAAAGATCTAGCAAGTGTTTAGCATACAGTGGGCGCCTCCTATTCTTTTCTCTCATTTTCTTCTCCACCATTATTCACCATTGTTCTAGATATGTGAAGGATGGCTGAATGCATAGGGAAAACATACATCCTTCTAAACTATATACAGATTCAGAAAGGTAGAGGCAAGGAGAAATTTTTAAGGTAAAAAGAAGAAGTCTCCATCAGCTAATTCTATGACCCTTAGCCACAGCGATTAGAGATGCCCTTGTTGAAGAACATTTGTACAGGTTGCAGTGTCTTTGTGTTGACTGGTTCTGGAAGTCCTTTGTGATAGTTACAATCAGGTGGTTATGATGAGACTCTCTTTTCATAACTTCCTGGTCTTATTTATTTGTTGTTGGGGTTGGTATAAAGGATTCCATTTTTGTTTTGAAAACTTTTGAGGTCTTTTGTGTTCACTATTTTGTCATAGAGACTAATAATGAATTAATTAGTTTTTCAGTAATATGTAAAGGGTGTCATGTGTGCTGATGATTTAAGAGACACAGATAAGGATTTTAACCTTTAATTTCTTAGTTTTTAATCTATTTTTCCTTCCATGACCATTATAGTTGTTTGATCAATCTTGCATTCCCCTTCATTAGAGATTATACTGGTGGATGCAGCTTCATATGAAAACCCAAAATTGTTGAAAAGATATTTTGAGCATGCTATGTGTTTGGTTTCCAGTGCTAGCCACATTCTTAACACATCAGTTACATCTTCTAAGAAATAAGAAAGTAGTTGATAATATAAGTCAAAAATATACTAAATGCTATGCTATAGAAGCAAATGATGCAGTTTCATTTGTATATTTTCTGTACAATTTCAAACATGCTTTTCACCTCTGAGACATTTTTCCCTCCAGAGATTGTATGGCTTACAAGTCATTGATGTTTAATACAGATCTTCATTAGAAAGACATTTATAAAAGGTTATAAACTATGCCTTCACTAAAGTGTCAAGTATATGTCAGCAATCAAATGCAAGTCAAGAGTGAAAGTAAGTGTCTAGGTTGTACTCTCTGCTTTTATTCAGTTTTTATTTTTTATTAGTACATGTTTAGATCACATGACAATTACATTCCCCATGTAGAGTTGGTGCACATACATAATAAACCTTAATTCTCTTTTTATTTTCTTCTCCTCCCTCCCCAATTCCAGGGTCTCTTGGCATATTTCCTTTTTGCAAAAAAAAAAAAAAAAAAATCTCTTTTTTTTCCCTATTGTGTCTTTTATTCTGGTCCTTAATTATATTTGGGGTTTCTCATAAATAGAAACCATGTGTTATTTAAACTTATGGACCTGATTTATTTCAGTAAATATTATGGTCTGAAGGCACATTCATTTCATTCTTTATGACACAGTAGTATTCCACCGTGTAAAAATGCTGTATTATTTATCCATTCATTAGCTGATGGACATACAGTTTGCCTCCAAGATTTAGCTGGCAATCAATAGAGTTAAGAGATAACCTACAGCATGAAAAAAATGGCCAGATATTTTTAGAGCACAGGATTAATAACTAAACTATTTAAATAACAAAAAAGTTGGAAGTGCAAAATGAAAGACTCAATCAAACAGGGCAATTGTACTATCTTCTATATGCTCTGTACAGATGATTTTGATGAGGTATGGTCAGATAATATGGTGAATGCTTAAATTTAAAAAAATACAGAAAAAGCATGTTGTCCTGAATCCCCCTTTATATCCCTGCATTCTCCTCTTTGCTTCAAACACACTTATCCCACAATTCTTGCCTATTTCTGAAGCAATTCTGGAAATTTCTTTTCATGAATGTCTTTAGTTATGCTATAGTGGCTGCCTCAGTGTTCTAAATAAATTTGAAGCAATTATCTTTATGAGCAGTTTGACTTTGCACAGTGCCAGGGTCTAAATTGGAACAGGGCAGACTATAATGTTACTTGACAGAAAATGCCAATAGTATGTAACAGAGAATTGCCCCTCAGAACATGAAACTGTCCACCTATTTCTCAGACCATTTTCAACATGCATTGCTTTACAACACTCTAATATATCTGTGAATATTCAAAGTTTTCTATAATGTTACTGGATACAAACTGTGCTCCCACAATTCCATCAAGGTCTCAAACACAGTTATTATTAGCTGGTGTTGAATCTTGATTGATTCACATTGTTTCCACAAGGAGAACTAGACGATTGCCACTGACACTCTGGTTATTGGTCTCAGGCTCATAACCATAGACCCACGTTTTCTCTCGCATAGTGACAATGTGTAAAATTTGGAACCTGAAGATGCAAAATTGATCAACTCCAATAAGAATTGTTGTTTGTGATCCATGGTTTATTGCACACTTTAAAACATACCTTTTCTCAATCAATAACAAATTCCAATCAATAACTGATTTCATGAACAAGTTGAAACTTGTCCCACACTGTTGCTGTGGTTCTACACTTGCTTCTTGCTTCTCATACTAAAGATAAAAGGTGTTTTCGGATGGCATTCAGTGGGAGTCTTCATGTGTTTTGATCAGACTTTGTAAATTCTAGGTTTTCATTCAGCTCTAAGACTTAACTCCTCCTCATGTAGTTGATCCTGTGTATTCCCATGCTATAGGTTTTATTTTACCGTAATGAGACTACAAAATCTTTTTTTTTTTTTTTTTTGTCTTTTTCCTTTTTATCGGTACCAGGGATCGAATTCACGACTGCCTGCTTGTAAGGCAGGCGCTTATGCCGCTGAGCTAAATCCCCAGCCCCAAAATCTTTTTTTTTTTTTTTTAATGTGCTGAATTTCTTATTTATCTTGATAGTTCCATTTTCTAGCAAACTGGCTTGTACAGAGTAGGTAAATGGAACCAATTCAGGGAACCAAAAGAAAGATATCACAGTAAACAGTGGATGACCTGAGACAAGGATGTTGAATTCCAGACTCTTGTCACAGTCTTTAATTATCACCTAGTGTTGCAAAATAAGATTTTTTATTGTTCAAACAGTATTTGTAACCATGCCAGATTATCTTAGAACATACAGTGGAATCATACTGATAGGATGGTTTCAGCTGATCCCAACCAGACCTCTGAAACGCAGCACAGTTTATTGGGTGTGAGAGACTTTCAAGTGAGCTCACAATCAATGCTTATTCCCTCTGTCCTTCATGAGGAGTAAACATCTCATGTCAGCCAGAAGTAGCATGGACCTTCACATCGTGAATCAAATTTCTCTTGACCCTAGTGCCATGCTTTGTTCCCAGCGTTTGCCTTTATTTCTCAGCTGCCTGGCAGTTGGGTTACATTTGTGCAAAGAAAAGGTATGCATAGTTGATTCAGGACAAGTATTTCTCTGTAGCTGAAATCTGCATATATAAGCATGCTTGATTTCATAGCCTTTGAAACATTAGCATCTTATTCATAGTGAAATACTACGTAGCTATTTGGAATAGATGACTGTTTGGAGAACGTCTTCAGAAGTTTCATGATTGTGCTATGTGTTTTGTAAACATGAATTTCCCAAGATTTTCAAGGTCATGGATTTGATCTATGACCCTGGTGTCATGACAATTTTGGCAACTTTTCCGGGCATGTTCCTTGGATCTCTCTAGCTACTCGTGAACAACCACTTCAGAGCTGGCTCATCAACTGCGTGCAGTCCTGTCTCTTTCTCGGCAGAGTAAACATTCCGTCAAATAAAAACAGTCTTATGACTAGGGTTTCCTTGGCCAGAGTTAAAATAAAAGCTTTCCTCTCATGTAATTAAGACAGAGACAACTGTAGAGATGTTCAAAATTCTTAAAATGCTCAGTCCTTCCACAGTCCCCATGTACCACACTGGAGCCAAAATAATTGTAATTATGTACTGTAGGTGAAAGGCAAAACAACCAAATCCTTCTTTGTGAAGCCATCAAATCCTCTCACATGTCATATACTTGGTTTTTCTTTCACTTAATACTAAGCATTCCATCATTATCTTTAAACTCTCTATTGATGCTTTACTTTTTATTTAAAGACTTAGAAATGGGCCAAATGAAATCAGTGATTGAGACACTTCCTCCAAAGTCCGATTTCTTTCTTTAGAATGATGGGTCATATTAATAAGATAATTCATTGGTTTACTCATTAGTCAAAGCGTAGTATTTAAGAGTCTGAAGAACCTAGGTTGTAGAATAATAGTATGGCCTTAGTTACTACTTCCAAAATTTTTATGCATGTAATTCAGTGAAAATATTATCCAAGGAGTCTGCATGAACCAACAATTAAATTAGGTTATAAACTAGACTAATATTATCTGTGCATTGTGGAGAAGGTATTGTGAACGTATGAATTTGTATAGAAGAAGCGAGGCGTGTGGGGTGGACAAGTACAATTATTGACCTGTGCCCAGGTCTAGTTATGGACACATAGGATGTGGTAATATAGCCATGGTCTCCAATCTTACTGAGCCTGTAGTTTTGGGATGGACGATTGACAATAACCAGTCTAAAGTAAACATTTGGATTCTGACAGATATTTTAATGAATGAAAACAGAACAATGATGAGAAGAGAGGGGAGACTTTTGGTGTATGAAAAAACTTTCTGGAAAGAACTTTTTGGAAAGAAATCTCAGAAATGACAACTGGAGAAAACCTCATGAGGAAATTGGAAAGCATTCTTCAGAGGAGAAAATACTCAGCACAAAGGTCCTGAGTTGAGAATGTACTTGGACATACTTACTTGAATTATGTTTTGCAGAGGAATTGTTTGTTGACAGCTATATAGTTGTCCCTCATGGGCTATTGCACTTGTCAGGATTAGGGCATAAGGAAGTTATCTCTCTCGAAATGGCTAATTCAGAAGAATTTAGTACAGATAGTATTTATAAAGCTAAAGGCAGTATCTAAGGAAATAATAAGGGTGGGTACAGTCACTAGGGAGAAGAAGCTTTCTGCCAAGCTAGGTCTAAAGTACAAACAAAAGGACAGGTAAAATAAAGTCAGAGAAGGTAGCAAATAGAGCTACCTATGGAGCTGTGATCTGCACCACAACAACACAGTCAATCTTCAGTCATCTGGAAAAGGACAGGGACAGTGCGGGATACAGGCCTTACCTACCTACTCCATTCTAAGTCCTTGATACACTCTGTGGGCAGACACACCCAGACAATGAAGAGCTATGGAGATTTCTTGACACTATCCTCACTGATCATTTCAAAAGACAAAGAGCAGTTTGAGAAGGATGGAGAGTAGCTTTGGAAGGCCAAGAAAGGGCTACACTCAGGTCATCTGTCCTTCCCATGGCCTCTGCAGTGCTCATCGCTGATGCAGTGGGGACACAGAGTTGAGGGTCCTCATGGTAATTCTCCTTGCACTATAGGTAGGACACATGGCATCTAGTGGTCAGGAAATGTGCTTGATTCTTCCTAATGACTCTGATACTAAGAAACTTCAGGGAAGAAGAATAACTCATGAGCATAATATGGAACCCGCTATTTTGTTGTTATTGTTATAGTGGGATTGAACCCAAGACTTTGCATTGAAAGTTCACATGGTTCTTCTGACTCAAACTTCTGGAGTGCAGGAATCCTAGGATTGCACTATCATTCCTGGCAGTTATCTCTACCAGTAGCTATATATTTGTAATTTTTAGGTTTTTAATTTTAGGAAGGAAGGCTTCAAAAACTGAAGCAATTAGAAAATAGTGAAGTGAAAACTTTTTCTAATTTATTGTTTTCATTTGCAATGTACTTGAAATTTTGTCATATAAAACTGGCCTTATTTCCTTCTCAGATTTCATTTTTAATACAGCCCTTGAGGTAATCATGTCCCTTTAGTACAGTGGTGGTGAATCCATATCACACATAATATTGTGTTTTTCTTTTAAGACAAAAGATAGTAATGTAAAGTTGTATTTTCTAATCTAATACTTCAGTGTTCAGGTTTAATTACAGTGTTGGCACTTTGCAATAAATAAATGAGATGAGATTGCAATTTGTCACTCAGTCTCCACAAGGCTCACTGTCACTGTTCCAGCATTTCTCTGATACCAGAAATACATACAAAGCTAGAGTGCATTTGTCTGTCTGGCTGTCATAATGAAGTACCACAGACTGGGTGGTATAAACAATGTAAGCTAATTTGCTTACAGTTTGGGGGCTACAAGTGCAAGGTCAAGGTGCCTTCTGGGATGGTTACTGGTAAAGTATCATTTCTGGGTTTATTAGCAGTTACCTTCTTGCTGTGAACTCAGCTTACCTTTCCTCTGTATGTATACTCAGGAGGGAGAAAAAGAGAAGGAGGAGATGGAGCAGGAGGGAGCTAGAAAGAGAAACACAGAAACAGAAAGAGATACTGAAAGAAAGAAAAGGGAGAGGGAGAAAGAGGAAGAGAGAATGACTCCTTGTTCATTAATTGATCATTGAGCAGCAATAATATGGTCCCTCCTCCTATGCTCCATTCTCTTAGCTTTGTGCAATTACTATTTTTTTTTTTTTTTTTTGTCTTTTTCCTTTTTATCGGTACCAGGGATCGAACTCACGACTGCCTGCTTGCAAGGCAGGCACCTGTGCCGCTGAGCTAAATCCCCAGCCCCTGCAACTTACTATTTCAACCTCTGGCTTTCTGCAAATAATATAGTGGGAAAAGAGGCACGACCTGATACCCTTTCCTATCTGCCTGTCCTTACTCAGTGAACTGATTTTAATTTAGAAGACTAACACTAAATTCTGATGACTTTAATGCATTAAAGAAAATTTAAACTAAAGAATCCAAGTTTCTCTAGTATAAAGATTATAGCAGTTTTTGCCAGCAAGCAGTATCACTATGTTTTAAGAATAGGTCCCCAGTAGTGTCATGAAGTGATTAAAGAGCTAAGAGATCAAAGTCCTGCTTCTGTGTGGTATCAACTTTTATTATACCTAGTATGATAGGATCTTTTTATTTTGGTGTCAGAGGGACACAGCTTCAGTTTGTGCTGTGAGGAAAGGCGAAATTGCCTACCAAAATGTATGGAAGACGCTCAGTTTATCACAGTTGGATGAAGAACAGTAGCACTATGGAAAAAACATAGTAGATAGGTGTGCTGCCTTTAGCCTTCTTGGTAGGCAGTGAAGGCTGGTTTTAACTTGTGTCAATTTCAATGATTATGTCATTTCCCATGGACAATCTTTAGCTACTGCCATTGGTTTCATATTGAGAAGTAATGCACTTGGTCAGTTCTGGTCAGTGATGGAAACCACCTCTAGTATACTACCAGGAAGAGCTGGAACCAAGAGGCTGAACCCTCAGCTTCATCAAATCACTTTTTTTTTTTTTTTGATACCCAGGATTTAACTCACGACCTAGCGCTTGCCAGGCAGGTGTTTATGCCAGTGAGCTAAATCCCTGGCCCCCACTGAATCATTTTAAGTGTCGAGGAAGGCACAATGGAGTTTCACAGACAGTAAAAAACTTAGTCTGAACGCTGTTGTTGTGTAAATTCTATGGCTGCTAGGATGTTGGTTAGTGTCCCAGTAAACATGATAATATGCATTTATTAAAACAGGCATACTTTTGTTGTGCTTAAATACTTAATTTATGAAACACTGGTCAATGTGTACTTTCACAGATTATGAAGTCTTCTCAAGTTTTAAATGTTTTAAAATATTTTTTATGTTTTATGTATAATATGTTTTAAAATATTCGATCAAAACAACCTACACTGTGACTTTATAAAAGTTATCTCATTAAATCTATTCACTGATTGTAAAATTAAAATTAAGAAAGTCAGGTTTCTAAGCTTATGTGATTGCCAAGTGTGAGAATAAGAGCTCGAACCTCTATCTTCTGACAGCATATCATTTTAATTATGTTTGTTCTAAATGTATACAAGATTAGTATACTTAACTAAAAAAAGTCAGAATTTTTATTTTAGGTTTCCTTTTTATGGTGTACATTTTAGATGTACATAATGATTACTTTCATCTTATAGAATTTGTATCTGTATGTGATGTAACCTGATTTCCCCCCACCCTCCTACCCTCCTTCAACCCCTCTCCCCATCCCCGTTTGCTTTTGCTTTGCTCCCATTTTTTCCCTTCTTTTCTCATCATTGTTTTCTTCTCCCTTCCATCCTTTCCCCCCTCTCCCTCTAATTCCCCTTCCCATTATACGATATACATGTTGTCTTTATTTGTGTGTCCAGTATTTCACATCAGAGAAACAATGTGAAATTTACACAGGTGTGTCCAACTTCTTTCACTTAGGGACATGGCCACAAGGTGCATCCTTTACATAGAAATGTCCCAGGCTTATCTTTCTTTATGCCTGAGTAGCACTCCATTGTACATTGAAAAAAGAACACATCTTCTTTGACCAGAGGCCTTTGAGAATTTCATTTCTTTGCCATGTTTATAGTTTTCTGATACTCATATACATAATTTTTCTGCTTGAAAGAAAATAGTTTTCCAAAATATCTGCTTAAGATTTAGCATAGGGTTATAATCTAGTAAAGAAAAAAATCTTAGTTTTATAATATATAGTAGAGAATATTTAAAACAATTATTTTGTTTCCTTCATAGAATTTTCCCTATTTCAAGGTTATAAAAGGATTTTTTGATAGTTCATTTTAAATGATTTAATCTCTTCTTTTAGTCCTCTTTCTATATCTCTCCCTTTTTTAGAACTATTGATCTTTTGTGTTTACCTGCTACTTGGAGTGTGTGGTGTATATTCAGCTTTTTGTTTTATATAGTTTTCCAGGTACTATAAGATAGTTCATCTCTTTCCACATTGATTTGAAGTGGCATTGTTATAAAGTAAAATTTTGTGTATATTAGACATATTTTTTATTTATTCTAACATTTTATTAGTCTACTGGTATTCCTGAAATAGTAGCATATTATTTTAATTGAGAGTCTAGAATACGTGTCAATTGATTGAAAAATCTAATCTATTGTATTGCTTTTCTTTTTCTTTCTTTTTTTTTTTTTTTTTTAAATTTGTTGTATCGGAGATCGAACTCACGACCTTGAGCTTGCTAAGCAGACGCTTATGCTACTGAGGTAAATCCCCAACCCTGTATTGCTTTTCTATGCCAGGTTTTCTTGGATATTCTTTTAATTTTATCTTTTCATATGGATTTTATCAATAGCTTTATCTAGTTCTGTGTCAACTTCCTGTCTCTGAAACAACATACCTACACTAGCTTAAATGAAAGAAAGGTTCATTTTGGTTGGTAACTTCAGAAGTCTCAGCCTGTGGTGACACAGTATAGATACTGGCCTGGGAGGTGGAGGAGGCCTGTTTGCTTCCTGGTGCTCTAGAACGAAAGACAGAGATAGGAAGAAGCTGAAGTCCTGGATCCTGTTCCAGGGGCACCAACTCAGTGACCTCACTTTTCCCTCTAGGCTTCTACTTTCTGGTAGTGCCACAGACTTGTGCCCAACTTTTTAACACATGGGCCTCTAGGGAGGACTTTCAAATCCTAAGAAGTATAAAAGTTCATTTAAGGCAAATTGATATTTTTATGGTGTCAGCATTTCAAGAATAAAGAAAGGTATCTTTCTCCACTTACTCAATTTCATTTTTATTCTTAAGTAGAATTTACAGGAATTACCCATATAGGTCTTGAACTTTTTTTGTGTGTGGGGGTTATACCTAGGAGTATTTTAACTTTTATTTGCATTTTCTTCTTTATTTGTTTTGGCCAGTTATATTCATGCAATATAAATGATAGTGGCAATATTGGATATTGTTTCTTTACATATCAAGTACATTATAAATAAGTACAGTCTTTGAGAATGATAGGTATATTTTTGTTGTCTTAACTTTCTTATATATTTTGTTTTATTGATTTTTATCAGCCAAACTAAATTAATAAATTTGAAGCATAAATATAAAGAAGTAATTGTGCAGAGTTGAAAATTACATAAAGGTCAAAATATAAAAGCAAAACTCCAGTAACAGAATATATATTAAAAGGCTAATATTGAAGCAGTTTTCTAAAGTATCAATGATAAAAAAAAATCACCAACTAAATGAACAGCAACTCAAAAACAAACATAGCCATAGTTTGTAGGAAGAAAACATCTCTTTGGCTGTTAAATACATAAAAAATGCTCCAATAAAAGTCATAGTAAGAGAAATATTAATTCAACTGTATCATAAAACAAATTCTTCACCTACAAATTGAAAAAGAAAAATTTTGTTAAAGTAGCTTTTCATTGAGGCTGTGGGAATATGAAACTAGTGTGACACAATAAAATGCATTTAACTATATCCATTAAAACTAGGAATGAAACATTCCATTATTCTTCAATTTCACTTCTGTTTTTCCTGCAGCTATTCTTGTATGCACGTGACATGATGTTGGTCATTCACTGCTGCATTGTTTGTGATGGCAAAAATGTGGAATCTCTGTGGATGTCTGTCATAATTGTTTATATTAAATGAATAGCTAAATTAATTATAACTATGCAATGGAATACTATGCAAAGCTGAAGAGTAGGAGCAATCTCTGCCTGTATTCATATTGAAAAATGCAAAGTAGACATATTGTCTTTTGCTTAAAGGAGAAAAAGGTGAAGAAAAGTCTAGATGTGTCTGTGTGTGCATAAAAATTTCTCAGGGAATAACAAAAGATTCACAGTGATATTTATGTTCAGGTATAGCAGTGTAGAATTCGACCCAGAGGGACTTAATTAAGAATGCCAATTTTACCCTTTTATAATGGACTTTTAAAATTGTTGAGCTGTGGGAACGAATTGTTTATTCAAAATTAGATTTAAAAAGTCAAATCTATTGTGCTATATTTATTTTTGAGAGCACAGGTTTAGTAAAAAATTAGACTTTTTAACTGGTGGTTCTTTAGCTGTTTTTACTATTTCAGAGCTAAAAACGTAAGTAAAAGGAAAGGTAATTTAGTAGTTGTCACTAAATCTACCTAACAGAAGGTGAGTGAAAAGTCAGGTCATACATTATAAGAAAGTATTCAAAATAAAACGTACAGTTTTCTTCTATTTTTAAGGCTCATTGAAAGACATCTAATAGAATTTGGGCAACATATTTTCCCACTAATTTTAATTTTATGTGAAATATTGTTTTTATACATCTAGATATTTTAGGAAATTCATAAGTGATATTCAAATTTATTTTGTAAAAAATAAACTTACCTGATTTAAGAGAATTTGCCAAAGTTAAGATACTTGCGGTGGGATTCTACACATGTCCTGCAAGGCAAAGTTCCTGTAATGGTAGAGGAAATTCTCAGTTGCCCTATGGCATCCTGGAGCTTGCATTCTTTTGAGAGTAGTAGTCCCTGGACAGCAAATGCCTCCAAAGGACACTGGGCCTGAGGGAACACTACGGGTTCAACAGCAGTTCTGAGGCTTGTTCTGATGTGCTAATCCTGTGACTGCTTCTTGGCTTTGCCCATAACTTTGGCTCTGAGTCTTGGCTTGGGCCTTGGGCCTTGGCTTGGTTAACTCTCTGACTTCTGATTCTGAACGCTGGCTCTGACCCCAGAATAAATACTTGCAGCAACCTTATTAGAACTCCTGGTCTGTGGTTCTGTCCTGGTTTCCTGGCCTTAGGCTTCTTCTCTAATGCCAGCTCACAAACTTGAGTTTTGTTCAGGGCCGTATGGAAAGGAATCTTAGTAAATTGTGAAGAACTATACAAATATAGGAGATTAATAATATTACTTTGCTTCAGTCTTCTGGCAAAGGCAGTAATAGGGAGTGTGAATGGATAATGATAAGGGGAAAAGATACCCAAGCCTTTGATGATAGACATCAAGGCCTGGTTGGAGTGCCTTTACTCTTGCATTCATGTTTAGAAGATTATCTTAATCTGTCTGTAATATATTCATTCAACTGAGCAAAAACATCATTTCCAAAATGTATCTACAACAAACAAAAATATCAACAACAAAAGATATCATTTCCAAAATGTATCTACAACAAAGCCTTCTCTCCTGAGTTTTAGAGTCATACATCTAGCTACCTCCAAACAGACGCCCACAGTCACTGAAACAGTAAGGCAAAGCCTGAACACACATCCTGTTCTTTCTGCAACTCCTGCTTTGCACCAAGTTCCTCCTTCTGTGCTCTCCAGTGAGAGGACTAGTGTCACTCTCCACTGACTGTCCACCAAGTCAAGAGAGAGCTTCAGGCTTGCTTTTCCAACCTTCACCCCTACTAATCATAGCTGTGTTCATCTCCTTTGAGTGTTCTGTCTCTTTTCTATTGCAGTCCAGTATGGCTTTTTTTTTTTTTTTTTTTTTTTTTGAGACAAACTATCACTATAAGCCAAATCTTTTACTTACTGTATAGTTTAGGGTGACTTCAAACTTGCAGCAATCTTCCTGCCTCAGCCTTCTGGAATTACAGTTCTGCACTACCATGCCTGGATCACTTCTTATGTGACAACTGTGTGTTCTGGCTGGTGTTCCTGTTCTCATTCTGCCTCTTTGCTTAAATAAGTCATATTTTGACACACACCCAATTGTATTACTGTTTAGTTGCTAAATCCATCACTTTGACAAGCCATTCTTCCCTTGTCTAGTAGGCTAATGTCTTCTAATTCTTTCCATTTCACTTTGTACAACATCTCCAGGAGTTGCTCCTCAAACTCAACTTTATAGGTTCCCTCTCTGTTCTCTCAGAAATCTTATTTCTGACATCACAAGATCACAGGGCTTATCAGACTCTTTTACCATTGCCATGTTACTAGTCCATTTCATCCAAAGAATACAAAGGAGGATTATATATATATATAAACTATATGTACACAGGCTGATATACACATATATTTGATGTATATATTCATATCAAAATTATTTTTCAAATTACCAATTGAAATCCTTTTCACTTCCTTTTGTTTCAAATAGGTGTACTGAAACAAAAGTTTCTGGGTATAGAGTGTGTTGAAAATCATAAGAGATATTGCACTTGACCAAAAGAAGTTGCAGCTTGGCTTCTGAACTGAAGAAGTTTTAAATCAAGTTTAAG